AATCACTTTTCCTGTTAAGTTTGTGTACTTACATACATTAAAATACGATTTTTCAAGTGTACGAATATTTATTTCCCCCCACTGTAATGTAAGAAATATTTGTGAGATTTAAAGGCTATCTATGCAGAAATGGACCATATTATATCTCAATAATGACTCGATTGATCCACACTTGACTACATCACAACCATTGTAAGGATTTATTCAACGTCAAATTTAATTTCCGCTTGATAGTTCTTTTATATTAAACAATATATTTCACGTTTTCATGCACTCGAAAGGTAAACAGATGGTATTCAAAGTTTTCACCTAGGAATGCCCATTTGTTTGCTTATAAATTAGTTCATCTAAAGAAATATTTAAGAATAATTACAAACTAAGCAATTAGTTAACAAATGAGGAAGAAAACGAAATCGTTGTACTTAAATTTCATGAACAATTTTGTAGTCGGTCTAACTTGATTTAATTCACTGGCATAACAATTAGGCCAGAAGAGGGAATTTTAAAACCATTATTGATTTGATGACTTCAGGAAATTTATTCCGGATTTGTTTAATTTAGATGACACGCGCTTTCTGCATTAGGCAAACATTACGTGCCCAATCATCGTGATCGTGAAACTACAATTACTACATGAATACCATCACATACATACTGCTGACTTCATCCCAAGTGGCGAAATATGGCATTATTCTGGGGATAATGTATAGAATACACTTTTAAGGGTCTCTTTTTTTTTGTTGTAGCAAATTCAGTTTATTCTCTATATGAAGAACAAAAAAATTCCTCGATATACAACGCTTCGAATATTGCTACCATAGTGTATAGATCCCGGCACGTGACTGTCTGTGGCCCTTATGCGGTACGTAAGCACAGTAGAAGTAATATGTAAGGATGGAATTACTTAGAGCCCGGGAACACGACCCAGAGCTTTGATTGCATCAATCATGAGTTCACTTCTCAAGCACACAACGTAAACTCTATGTTATTCACGAATTAACTTTTCTTCTTGAGCCGATTATATCCAAGTCAACGGGTCGTATTTAACATTGATGAAAACAACAGGATTTTCGAATTATTGTAAACTGTGCAATTAAAAATTCAGGCTAAAATTTTTTGTTACTCTCAGAAAAATGTTGAGGAACCAATTTAAGAAGCAAAGGAGATTAGAAAACATACTATCGATGCTCTCGAATAATTTTGATAGGGATTGAATATTTATATCCTGATACTGTTTAGAATATTTTCCAAGAAACTTAAATTAATTAATCGATCTAGCAGAGCATGGCGGGTGCGGCTCCCTCATCAAATGTAGGTTTGATAACTAAGCCTGTTTGAATGACTGGAAACTGCCTGTGACAAAGAGCTGAATTTTTTATTTATTTTTGCAAAAACCTATGCGGTATCTTGAACTGCTTTAATAGCTCTAGGTATTTATATAGGATCCTCTATATTTCTACATATGAGCTGAATAAAACAGTGTTATACGATGTGTAGATTCTCAGGAAAGTCAAGCACACACCTTTCTGTCGCTAAATCGGTAAAAACATTCTCCCTATGAGAGAAAATTCATGATCTTGGGAAATAACCTAACGTGCTTCTAAGCTCCGGTCTACTATTATAAAGATGGAGGGGTCAAGAATTGATAGAAAAACTGCATGTAAATGCAACTTTTCTATCCAGTTTGGCAAATATGTTTGGAAATAACTAATAAATGTAAATAAATTACTTTTACGAAGATTACGGCTTCAGCGAACAATTTAAATTTGATTGCAAAAATTTACCGACCAGTTTTTTCTGGATGGCTTTGTAAAAAAAATTCACTTCAGTTCCAAACATCATTATCGAGTTGTATCGTGTGTAACTATACAATAAAACACACATGCAGCAGCTCTGCTTTGCCCATCAACTAAGCAATTACTTTCGGTTTATAACGTTAACTTATCCGCTGATTCGGCTTAATTGTGTGCGACGATTTACGCTTTGCAATCATTTACGAGAATGATTGCAATTACATGTAATGTAGGCGATAATATACGACCCGCGGAATAATTCTGGATGAATGCAATAGCCTTCAATTTGTAAGCTAATTGTTATGCATGGGGTGGCCGGCTAACTGCCCGGCGCCTGACATGCGACGATACGACCGAGTTTCTGGCTATAATAATTCTCGATTAATCGTCGACTGTGATTTTCAGTTAATATCAAAATTACTTAGATTATTTCTATATTATTATAATTAACTGTACAATTATATTATTCGTAGAATTAATATTGTCATCATAATCTTTATATATTTGAAAAGAATATATTATTATGTTATATTATATTATATTATATTATATTATATTATATTATATTATATACAACGCTATTATTATATATTATTATATATCATATTATGGTGTGGTCAAGTATTTTAATTTATATTGCTAATACTGAACATCGTTGGCTATTTTTTGTTCGCTAATTTGGTATTTAAACACAGCTGTTTTTTTAACAAAGCTGATGTCAGGCCAGATAATTAATTGATGTAAATTTCAGGTACAAATAATATGATTTAGATGACTTTGGTTGATCAAAATACAGGTTATATTACGGAAGTAATTTTAATTTATTAACGACGTTTAGCAAGTACCAACATGCATTTTTAATTTATAAGAAGGATTGACTACCCTAATTTGGTATTTATTGAACGTTAAAGATTTCTAATTAGACTTCTAATCAATAAATGTTTATTGGGGTTTTAAAATGTCCTTCAAATATTTATTCCTAAACACGCGCAGCGTTTCTTTGTGTGAGTTAATGATAAACATACAACGAAGAACACGTACCGAGAACACCACAGTATAATTTATCCCAACATCTCTAATAAAAAAATTATCAAGTGATATTCTACAACGAGAAATTCCAGTCTAGGCGACGTTCAAGAAATTTATTCTCTGGCTCCACGCTCATGTCTAGAACTTTGCCAACTCGTGATGGCACCAAGTTTAAACCTGAACTCTGTTACAACTTTAGCTTCGGCACTCTGCATTCACTTGAGGATGCTGCCACGACTAGCTAAATTATATCAAGACCTTAGATTAGCTATCATTTTAAATTATATCACATGTCTATCACAGATCCTTTAACAAATTCATACGATTAGAAGGTCCAGTGTTGGTTAATCGGGAATCAAAAGCTGCGTTGGATAACTATTCGTATCTGTCATACCGGTTTAACTTTTGCCGTTATCTCGGATGGCTTCATTAGGATGGCGAAAATCGTCCTGACTTCTTCTCCCGCTGTGATAGAGCTTGTTCTCGTTTTTAATGCTGCCAGAATGACGTGAACATTTTTGCTCCTCTATAAACACCGTAAATTACTTCTATCCACTGCAGTGGATAGAAGTAATGGATAACAATTATGTAGTAACTACTGCTTGCTTTTCTGTTTGCAATATCGCGCTCGGATCTTCTCCTTATCATCATATCCTCACGTTTCAGATTTTCAATTCACTTTGGATCTTTTTCTCCTTTAAAATCAGTCTTAATCTACCTAGAACAGGCAAAGAGGAGCTTCTTAGGCATTGCGTCTTAAAAGCAATTCTAAAAAATCTAACTAAAACTCTAATGATTTTCCACCAGGTTTGTTCCACCGGGCCATCCTGATGTCAGGCTCAGCTCTGAGCTCCTGGGCTGAGGTCCAAGATGGCATCTCCGTAACAGCTCGCCTGGCGCGGGCGTTGAACTGCTCCCTACCCTCAGATCTGAGGGATCAGCACCCAGAGACCATCGTGTGTCTCAGGAACTTGTCCGCCCAGACGCTCGTCAACGCGCCGCTCCCCAAATACAAGTTTGCTTCACTCTTCGGCCCCAGCGTCGACGGTGTCGTCGTAACCGCTGACTACAGGATCAGACTTGCAAGGGTGAGAGGGTTGATGAGTGGCGTTAAGGTTTGAAGTTGTGTTACTGCGATGATAAGACAATAATGATAGGGCGAGTAGATATTGCTTAAGGGTGAGTGCAGAGCTCAGCTAATGTTGCAGAGTGGGAGGGAGCGTTGGGTGAAAAAAGAAGAGATGGGGCGTGAGATTTGAGTGAACAATAATGGTGATAACGATGAGTTGGGAAGAATGAGTGAAGGTATATATATAAGAATAGCAATTGTATTAGGAATGATAAAGTGCCTTCGTGTTTGTCATATGAAAATAATTACGAATTAAAAAAAATTAAGAGAGAGAAACCTCAACGTCATGTAGAGCCATCAGATAAGAGAGCATCTAATAATACTTAGATTGGCATTCTATATGAGCGAGAGATCATGGGCCCATTTTAACGTAAAAAATCAATGTGTATGCAATATGCATAGTAACAAAAAATTACTATAGAAACAGAAACTATATACTGTGATTGTCTAATTAATTCCAGCTCTCTTGTTTACGAGAATTGGGCTTAGTTATCGTGTTTGATTTTTTTGCGCTAGCAATAGCAATGCAGGGCACTTTTGTAGTCAGATCCTAATTAATGCTAATTGGCGTCTAATTGAATAATATTTAATGGTGTAAGTACTTATATCATTAGTCTGCTTATATCGCAAGTTCACAAGGAATTTAAAAGCAAAGAAAACGCCAAGAAAATTTACCATATCGATATTGAAAACGTTTCGGAGTCCAGCTCCATCATCAGTTCTGAACTGATGATGGAGCTGGACTCCGAAACGTTTTCAATATCGATATGGTAAATTTAATGGTGTCCTATGCCTGCTGAAGGACGACTCGGAAGTGGCATCTACAGGCAATATCCTATTGGCCGCACAAACAAGCTTCACGTACATAAAGAAGTGTACTCGACAGCTCAACATTTATTACGAGGTTGTATCTGAAATTCTGTATGAATAATACCGTATTCCGAATATGACGACAGTAGCAAATGCTCGTTTTTGAAATTGCATAATCGAAGCTCCTCGATCAATTGAATTCAATGAATTCATTAAAATTCTGAATGAGAACAATTGTTGATGTGAAACTAATGTGGTTTTGAGTGGCACAATTAAGAAATTGAATCTTTTCGCATCCTATGAAATAATTACCATTATCAGGTCAGTCATACTGCCATGAGTACTGAAATTAATTATTTGTCTACAAGAGCATTGAAATAACGCCAAGTAAGGGATGAAATAATACTGCGAGTGGGGTAAAAAATTCACTTTGGAACATTCATAAAGATAATTATAGCCATTTTCTCTTTAGGACGCAATAACATATTGAATTAGGAGCTAAATGTTAATTTATATTCATGATTTGTAGTGCATGTTTTCATTATTTTAGGTGGGAAATTTTATATTCATATAAAATAGGTGGGAAATTGATGGAGGTTTCAAGTATAATACGTAATATTGATTCTCGTTGAGGCTGCATTTGAAACTAGAAGAAAAAATAAATGGCTTGCATTTTTAACGTACGGCCATACTCATTTATCGATCTATAGATAAAGTTTATGAATATTCCTTCTAACTGGCGCAAAAATGGGCAAAATAGGTTAAAATTATGTATTTAAATTGTGTGCGTATTCACGATTTGTATCAGCCGGAAAATTGACTGCAATGCATGAAAACTGTTGAACAACAAAACGCTGATCGTTAGTATAAAAAAAATTCATTTGCATATGGGTAAAATATAGGAGTTTCAACGAATGAAGTGCCAGTTGATAGCGGATATACCATCTCGTACATTATTATGAAAGCTCAAAAAGCTCTAGGAAGTCTCATACCGGTATCTTCTCCGTAGTTTCTGTGAATCTCGTTAACTGCAATTCCGTAACCAAGTTTACTGCTGAGCGAAGTGCCAGTCAACGTCACGTCAGATGCCGGTATCGCGCAGCATGGGAGGCTCGATAGCGTACACGCTCGGCCGAGGTTTATGGTCTCAATGACAGATTTATTCATCAAATATCAATGATGATCTGATTAAAAATTATTATATCTGTTAAATTTAATTTGAGATACTTCGAAAATAAATAATATGTTGACTGGCAAACTCATCCGCTCGCACATTTTATTATTTTAATTCTGTTTTGCTTGCATTGCTAATAATTCATTGGTATAAATTTCTCCGAATGAAAGCCTTGAATTTATTTAGATCAATTGAAATTTTGTTTATACATTAATTTAAGCACAAATTTAAATAAATATATTGTTATCAATCGACTCATTTCCACCTGAATTAGCAAATTGTGTACTTGTATAATGGTTTGGGTTCTACATTTTTAGTCAACGATATTTACTTTTGAACGTTCATTCCGCATACTGTACATCATTGGTTGTAAGTATTCGCGAAAATTAATGTTACGATAGAATAATCGAGAATTACATTAACCCATTAGCCTAAAAAATGCTTTCGATAACATGATATTTCTACGCCGAAACTGCCGCTACGAAGCACGCGAAAATAGCATTATTAATCGACGTCGTTCAAAGTAACGAATTATTGCGGCAGCTTGGCGTTGCTCTAGAGCCACCATTTCAGTCCTGTGGGTTTGCTCCCAAATTTCTCAGCTTCTCGATATTGCCGCATGCAAAATTTATGGCCTTACTTCGCCGAATTTGAGCTATCAACTTGGTCAATTTAATTCTAAGTTCCCGTCCAAGTTGCCTTCGCCAAACCGCCGAGAAAATCCTTCGCGCCTAAAATTTTGGAGGCGGATCGAATTGGCAACTCCTGATGACATAAGTTCAGGCTTGGCACGTCTTGACGCAAGTTAGGACTTGGCAAGTCATGTCATGAATTAGGCCTTGACATGTCATGATATGGATAGGCCATGGCATGCATGCCCATTAGGTAGGACTTGACAAATCTCAGCGCGAGTTAGAACACGTCGAGCCTCTGACATAAATTTTGGGTTAGCATGTCGTGACATTTAAGGACTTGACATGACTTGATTGTTTAGGACGTACTTGAATGTTGACTTGTGACTAAATGTTCTACTTGACTTGTGTTATGATTGTTCTTGAATGAATTAAGGACGTGATTGCTGTTTCGATTATTACAAGAACAAATTATGTAACAAGAAAAATTATAAATTATATTACACAAGGAAATATTGGCAGGTATTGAACCCAGTGCTGGGGTCTGGGCATATTTTGACGGACGCGCGAACACGACGAAAGAAGAACATTGCATTATAAAGTTGCTGTAGCAGCAAAATTTGCCTAATAAAAAACTGTCACGAATGCAGCTTCATCTTCGTCAACTGTTGTTGCAACAGCTCGCAGTATCAGCTACGTCGCAAAAATTTACGGTTGCAGTGCTGCTAGGTTAACTACATTCACAGGAGAATTTTAAGCCTGTCAACAGCAGTCGCAGCAGCAATATTGTTAACCTCATCAGCAGTTGTCGCTTCAGCAATCTCGGCAACGTCAGCAATAAGAACTGATATGCTTTCTTTCTGTAGCCTATCTTCTTCGGAGACAGCGAAAATATCTCAGAGAGACGACGAAAGTCGGGTATTTTTTCTCATTGAAGACTATGAAGCACATCGTTCGCTCCATCCTTGCTGATGAGTTGCTCAAAATAAACAAGCTTCTATTCTACTTGTTTTGTTAAGATGGAAAATAAACTCGTCGTCTCACACTCAACTTCTTCCGTTAACAAGAAAACTTCTTGGCACGGTGACCAGACTTCGAGTTCAGTGGTCGTGGCCAAGGAGAGATCAATACTCTTGGCAAAGGTTTTCACATTATCATTTTTAGGTAATTTTCAGGTTATATTGTTCCAGTATCGTAAGAAAAATGAGTGTTACTTAAGTGTCTTGCAGCATGATAGGAGAGATTCATTGTCTTTGAATGTATCTTAAAGTTCCGTGCAGATTTTTTCACGACATGCATCGTAAATTACATCAACCCAGTCAAAAATCTAGGAAACTCCACAAGATGCTGTTTATGAGCATTTTCACGATCGCTATACACACAAAATTTAGATGGGGAAATAGTTGTTCTTGAAATACTTTCCGTGAAAAGTTTCGAAGAAGGCTTGATGTTAATATCATATGCTACGCGAAAGAATCTTTTGCACAAGTAAAACTGCGTAATCCAATGAAAACAAAGTAACTCAGATCGCAAGTTAAGAATGAAATAATTTCAGAGAATTAAATTTTATAATATTAAATTTTCCTCCAATTTTCAAGCTACTCTGATATTATTTTACCATCAAGGAGCTGAACTCTGACAATAACCAAAGTCTTGGTGTAATTAAGTAGGCTAAGTAGCGTATATTATATAAACTCTTAAACCAATTCACTTCTCATTCTAACAACAGTGACTCAAAATTATTCAATGTCATTCGGTTCAATTTTGATTTTAACGATGGTTTCCCACTCAAGGGACTGTTCTCACTTCATTCATTATAAACCAAATGAAATCTGAAAAAATCAGATTTTATTCAGAATATTCATGTGTTATTCACGCATTTCTTAATTTAAGTAGTTTCCAATTAAAGTTGTGGTATTGGTGCATTTATAGATTCGATTGTCAGTTGACTCAGAATCCAATTTTAGTTTTGATTGCAAAATTTTACAATCGATTTCCAATTTATTTCCAGTTATATTTTCTGTTGGTGTTTTATGCTGGAACTGCGGTAAAACGAACGTTTCAAACATTGATTAAGAGTTATTATTTATATTGTTGGGATCACCGGGACACACCAACTCAGTTTGCGCGATCGCACCGCCAATTATTGAAGGATGAATAAAACCATAAACAAAAACTGTGATAATCAAACTTCAAATTCAAATAAATGCGAAAATATATGCTGCACCGTTCGTTCGCTTTTGTTCTTATCACATTGACATGATTTCTGGTTTCAACTTCGGAGCCAAAACAATGTCAATGTAACAGGCTTGGCTAAGCGAGGTGACGTTTTTCAAAGGTGACTCGGAATCGAGGCTAGCAAAATCTAACTAGCAATCGAATCGAAGTTAGCAATACCAAATATTGCATAACATTCCCTATCAATCTTTTCTAATTAATGATCAATCAGTCAATTAATTATTCAGTCAGTCGATCTTTATGTAAACTATTCACTTAACTATACTTTAAATAATTTAATAACACGTAAATATTATTATTTCTTCTAACCTTCATTGAATTATTAAAATAACCATTATTACCCGTCTGTATTGAAGAATTGGCTTCTCTCAATCGCCTTTAGTATTCGAATTAAAAAAATCAACCTATAAATTTTCTGAATGACTTTCAAGATCAAATATGATCACTTCTGGTGATAAATTCTCTGTTTATCGAGTTGAGAGCTAACAAATGAACAAACTAATAGCAATAATTTGTCAAAGCTTGTCAAATTCAAGTATTAAAATAGGCCTGGTCCGATAACAAATCATTTTTAAATCTCAAATGAAAAGCTGTTGCTTATGAAGACGATAGTTAACGAAATTAAATTGATTTAATTTATAGCTGAAAACGAAGGGTAGCGAAAATAATTACCACTTGTGCGATTATTACGTGAATTTGACAATTTGAAGCAAAATTGCTTGAATTTTTGTCTTTGTTTTTATTACTAATGCGCAGTACGGTAAGCGGTCATAATTTGATTTATAATTGTTGGCCTTTTGCACTTAATTATTATCCAGAAAAATTAGTCAACTGAATCGGGAATAAGAGCTTAAAAATATTCCACCTGTAAATACGACTACGAGATGACTTTAATTGAAAATGGTTGATATCTGGAATGATAATAAATAAATCGATTATAAACCATGAAAGCGAGAGGCAAGCAAGAACATTTTTATCTGCTTGACTAACTGGGGACATATGTTCCATCACAACTTTTTCAGGCACACCGTAGGGGCCTAAATACACGTGGCAGCTAATTTTTCACGTGACTCCTGGGTTTAGCATGAAGGTATAACCGTCAGTGATTAGTAGAGGGCCGGGGTTACAAACTCGAAACCATTTTGGTCGTACGGTCCCTAATTAAAGACTGATGTACGTTAGTTAAGTTCTACACTGCCTCCGCCGCAGCTCTAGTAGAGGGACAACGTGCCTATGCCGACGTCTTAGAGGCGGAAAATATTTTTGCAAGATGCTTCCCAGTTTGACAGTGGACTAAGGCAGAGGCCACGATATAAAAAAATAAAAACGAGTTCGAAACTCCGTCAAAAGCTTTTCTTGCAATTAATACGGCCGCTACGTGTACTTAATTAATAGATCGCAACTTGGACTTTCGATATTACGGCCTAAGTATCGATGGTACGGCCCTAGTACACTTTCAGACTCCAAAGTATTTCGCACGATCTCACCCGCAAATATTCTGTCAACTGATGGGCATCTTTGATTTGTCACGATTGTTTCTTAGAAATTAATCAACTCAAACAACAATCCACTGGAAAAAGTATAGTGTGTTCAAAATTTCTCAGATGTTCTTTGAATGGACACATGGATTCGTAGAGTTCAGATTGACAACAATTCATATTTATTTATAATTGAGCAAAATTATATCTTGCCACCAATCTCTGCGTACAAAAGAATGGTTTACATGTATTTTTTTGTGATTCTCGCCTGTTTATGCTTATACAACATTTCTAAAGGCTAAAGTCACTTCTAGGTTCCAACGTTTCTTGGAGAAGTGTAAATTATTTCCTTGCAGCTATTTTATCTTAAATGTTTAATTATCTTCCTGATCCACTAAGCTTCAATCGTGATCATTCCTTTCATCGTTTTACAATATAAGGCGATGGAATGAAGAAACAACATCTTTTCTCATTAGTTATCCCAACACAAAGATATCTATTGCAAATAAAAAAGGGTTATCCTTCTACTTATACTTTTCTAACGCTAAGCTTTAAAGCTACTAACTTTATAAAGGAAACATTTCTAAGAGAACTTGTAGCGTGAATTCATTTACTTGTTTTTCCGTTATTTTCTGAAGAAAAAATCATTATTTTGTTTAATACTTTGCAGACTTCAAATATATATAGTACGTCTTATTTATGTATTTCAGTGGCTATAATGCTCAATTTAGCAATTATGTTTCCTACGCTTCTCATGCACTTTTTCCTCAGTTTTACGAACATTATAACGCACTAATATATTTGAATATGTTCTATGTAATCTTTCACCAAAAAACTTTATTCTTGTTGCCCGAAAGTGTAAAGCTAGAAAGTGATCTCTCAATGTTGTTTTTATTCTCTTTAACTCATCTAAAGCCAAAAATTCACTGCATGATTCTCATCACTCCATGTTTATCATATCATTTCTTGAAAATAAAGCGTCCTAAATCTTAAAGCTAATGAACTATAAAATCTCTACGTGTATATTTTGATATGGTTTACAGGAACTGAAAGACAGAAACCTGTCCGAGTCTTCATATATTTTAATTTGGTTTACAGGACCTGAAAGACGGTAACCTGTCAGTGCCTACATGAACCGCATAGATCTCTACCTATTTATTTTGATTCCCAATACAGGAACTGAAAGACAGAAACCTGTCCGTAATCTTGGGAGTGACAGAGGGCGACGCTTATCCGGAGCTGACGCAGCATCAAGCCACCGAGGGACTCAACATGAAGGAGCGCAACAGGATCTTCAGGACGTTCGTGCGCAACTCCTACGACCACCATCTGCAAGAGATTTATTTGGCCATGTGCAAGGAGTACACGGACTGGGGAAATCCTTCTCATCATCCCATCGAGGTTCGGAAACACTGAGTTAAATTTCCTCTAATAAAGGAGGCACAGAATAATATTCAAGTAGCCTTTCCCATCGTCATTTCATGACAAGGAAAAATTGAGTTTACCTTGTTCGTTATATCCTGGGCAAGGATGAATGGCATCAATCTTCATAGTTTTGGCCTTTGATAGTTTGGTTACCTTCCCTTCATTCCTTTGTGGCTTGGGATGGTTAAAGCTACCTTCCATCATTAATCCGTAGCATGGGATCACTGAAATAAACTTTTCCATCATCCGTTCACGATATATAATAATCGAGTTGACCGTATCCTGTATCTTTCCAGTCATGGGATGAGTGAAGAAATAATTTCAGTTGTCCATCCATTCGTCGCATGGAATGGTTGAGTAAACTTTTCCCCTCATCCAACCATGTTACTGAATTGTTGAGCTGGCCTTTCAATCGAGGCATTAAATAGTTGAGTTAGTCTTTCCCATCATTCAATCGAGTCTCTGAATAGTCGATATAACTTTTCACATCATGAAATTGTTTTTTTAATTACGTAGCAAATTCCGTTGTATAATTTTTCTTTAGGCTCAGCATTGTAATTCTCCTCCATACGGCAATTTCCTTGCCCTAGTTAATTACCGTTTTGCATATACCCGTGTTGCATATTCAGAGTCACTTCCTCGATAAAATATTCCCTGCTAATAGTTAAATTTCTCAAATAAATTTCACAATTCGCACATGTCCGTGGTTTTCATTCTAATTAAGGCAGATGCCGTGATTTTTTCGCCAGGTGCGCGATCTTGCGGTCGAGGCTCTCAGCGACGGTGGATTTGTTGCTCCCATGACACGCACGGCAGCCGTGCTGAGCCAGCGTGCCGACACCTACGTCTACGTCTACGCTCACCACGACGCAGATCATCAGGTATTTCTTACGCAGGATATGAAATGCTCCTTATAATCCTTGAGAGAATATAATATTTCACCCGCACCACACAGGTACTTCCGTAGTTTTGGGTTCACCGGGCCCCCCTTGCACTGCAGGGGGCTTATGTTCCCTGTCCCCCGGCCATCAAGTTACTCACTTCCCTACCACTTCAGTAAGTTACTGCCCTCCTCCTCAGTACTGCAACGAGTTCCCCGTAAGTCAGTATTCCCCAAATCCCTACACCGGGAGTTCTTCATGTCAATTTTCAAACCCCAATCAGTTCCCGAGCCCCACGAATTGCGGTGGTGGGAGCCTTTCCCTCCAGCGCAGCAGTGGAACATCTGCTCCGCAACGTTCTGCCACCCTCAACAGAAGTGGAGGACCAAATTCGGTTTGTCTCGTCAATTCACGAAAGCCGACACCGCCGCCCAGAGATTCGTCTTCATCTTCTGTGAACGCTGGCTCCACTTTTGCCACGTTGCCCCGACAATCGTCTTTGGATTCTAGCTCTCATACTGTATTATTGCCTAGGCTTTAATCAATAGTAGCGTTTAATTCCCTATGTGAATATCAAATAATTTTTATCTATCTGATGAAAACTTGTTAAAATAAGAATTAAGGTCTCGCGGCGCTAATGCAAAATCGAGTCATTGGAAAAATTGGACAGAAGTAAAATTTTTCCCCATCTTTAGAGAAATCGTGTGCATTACCTCATTTAGTTTCTCAAAAAGACGATTACGAATGAGTTTACAGAGATGGAAACTCTAATAAAAATATAACTCAGTACTCACTGCAGTGGAGTGACGGAGAGCGCATTTTTTCGTCGACGAAAGCGTGAAGTCACGGACGGACGGACAGACGGACAGACAGACAGACAGACAGACGGGCATGGCGAGCACAATAGAGCATTTTTTCTATAAAGAGAAAATGCGCTAAAAATAAGGGCAAATAGATTTCATCCCTATCAGTTGAAGGATTTACTACCAGTTGTGGTAATTTACCGCAAATTCATCCTAAATTTCATGCCCCATAAAATATATTTCACTGTTACGGTAAATTCTATCGCTTCGCAATAATTGTTCTCCCTTCTTAAGATTCTATCCTGCCCTAATTGTAAATCAATAGATTTTTTGAAGCGCTGAAAACTAAATCCACCATTTGCTGGGGATTTTATATGTTCTCTCATTACAACATGTACCTAATTCCAACTGGTTAGGAATAATCTAAATTTAATTTTTTTTAAGACAAACTCTTATCGAAATAAAACCGAGAACCATTTCAGCCATATACTTTACTTAATTTTATCCCTGCATCCAATTTCATGCTATTTCACCATGATTATTATTCTGAAAATTCAATTAATGCTTCTACCACGTGGCTTTTCATGGTAATGGCATACTTTATAAGCATATTATTTTATAATTGGAAATTACCATAGCTCTCTAAAACTATCTCGGCAAAACAATTCCTAAAATAGATAGTAATTGAAGCTCGTAACGGATGTCGATTATAATCATGAATAATGAGGTTAAGCCTCATTAATGAAATTAATTATTATAGATATATCAGGTTTGATCTAAATCATACTGCTAAGCTAGAGAAAATTAAATAAATTTCGAATAAATTTCAGTGCATAATTTGCTGTAACATTGTTCGAATGTTCCACAAACGTCGTTCCGTACAAGATAATTAACGATTAGTATGATTATTCCGGACAAAGGAATCAAGAGAGTTGACAAGGAAAAAATTAGTTGGATATATGATTATTCTCAGCAATTACTTTGCATATTCTATAGATGTGCTTATTGTATATATTGTCTTTTTCTACAAATTTAGTTACTTAATAAATTTTTTAATTGAATACATGATAATTGAATACATGAATTTTTAATTGAATACACACATTCGCAAAATATATTGGTCTGGAATGCCATGGCCAGCGAATAAATGCAATTTTTGAGTCAGGGTTGAAAATTGTAAACACGGTGCCAGCTCCCTTCCCCACCGGTACAAACTTTCAAATTAGCTCCGTATAAGATTATTGAAAGGTGAACCAGCTCGTATATGAGGGTCGTGAAAGCTTACCTCGCATCCTACGTACATAATTTGCCGGTAACGACTTCGAATATGACTCATCTCCTGAAAAGTTTGTTGTTATTAGTTCTAATACAAATGGTCCGCGATAGAGATAAAAAGTCTTGGAATTTTCAAGAATGTTTCAAAATCAGCAAGTGTTTCTATTTGATTCGCCATGATGACTCACGAAAAGACATATTGTAACTGTAACTATTATCATAAGTCATGACTGAAATTGTAATTGCATCTGACAAATTGGTTGAAACAAGAGGGTAAATTGTTAGTGGTAAAATTAGTATCGCACATTTTTCAACACAATCTAGTGAAAGAAAAACATGCGCCAAATACCGCATTAAAAAAAAATAAATCAATAAATGTACTTTCCCTAAAAAGTGCTATCCCATATATCCAATATAGTTCAGGAACGTGGATAGCTTACACCTTTTTCTACTTAACTCTACTTCAGATAAATTTCAAAATAATTTTTTCACGTCACAGGTTTAAGGAAGCTATCATGCTACTATGGATATAAGCTACTATCCATAGTAGCTTATATCCTACTACTATCATGCTACTCTCAAAAGGCGTCTATGGAGTCATATTTCAGACACGCACGTCTTATCATCTGTGAACAGATATGCTTCACGAAAACTAATAAAAAGCGTAAAATGTTTAGCTATTGAAATTATTCATCACTTCATTACTTCGAAAACGCTTCTAAACCTTTAGATCCGTGAAGTCGGGTATATACCCTGCATAAAAAAAGTACAGATATGTCCATCTATAAGAATGAATAATCGTCCCCTCATTAAAAGTGAAGTGAATTGTTGTGAATTTTTACTAATGCTATTTAATTCAAAGAAATTTATTATATCTTTATCTTGCCAGTAGCAAGAATAAACTCAAACCTGCACTGACTAAATAAATGAGTTGTTTATTTCGTTAATAAATCATTGTTAAAGGTTTTACTCATGTTATTGAAGCAGAAGGGCGTTTCTAGAGGCTTCAATTTCCAATTTTAGTGTAAATTTTCCCCTTGAACTCATGTTTAAAGTGAATACAAGTATTCTATCTCTTTGAATTACCCAGCTAATGGGCATTTCGTTTAAAACCAGTTAAACTACAATGGCGTTGCAAATGCATTAAAAAGCGTATCCATAAAAGATAAGTTCGAGGAAGTTAATGATGACTCGATCGTAAAGTCGGGAATGAATTTTATCAAATGTTTCGCGTAAATAGTTTAGTAGAAGTAATCTATGTTAGTGTCAAGCCTTTATTGCTTGAGTCGGTCCATTTTTATCTATGGTAGTTTTAAGAATCGATGTATAAAACTTTTTAAATCATTTTAATTGTTGGTTGAGGAATAACTGAGAATTGAATAGGAGTTTAAGCCAAATAAAATCTTGTAATCTATATTGATCCAGATGCAGCATAGAATTTTCCAGAATCAGTATAGAACTTATAGAATAATTCTACAACTTCGATGCTCAAATGAATTTCGGTTACATAGATAGATATTCCATGAATTCAAAAATAGATTTTCCAACAGAAATTTCTATTGGAAACATCAGAGTTGAAGTGAAGGTGCGATGATGAATGAAGAATCAATCGATGATGGCAGCCGTGATTTCTCTATACATTTTCAATTCAGTAAGGAAATGTAAAGCTTTCATTAGAAACAATTCAACTTGGGCACTAATAAAGTTGTAATGAGCCAGACGTGGCGATCTTATTTGTTAAACGAAAATTCGGAAATGAAATCAAAGTCTTGATAGCTTGGCATGGTCTTATGATGCCTAGTTTTTTAACAAGTAATGCTCTGAAATATTCGGCGGAACTCTACCAAGAAATAATTTTTTAATATTTAGTTCATCGGCAAAATGTAAAATTCTATGGAAAACGTAATTATTTCCCTTCCAGTTACATACTTAAAATCTGCGGCAAATTAGCCGAGGCTTTAAAATGATCTGTGGTTACATAATTATTTTTTTAATTAAAAAAGTTTATTTTCATTTACCCTACTAGTCAAAACTAACTCAATGTGTATATAAGACTTTAAATACATTTTTGTAAATAGGCGGTTTCTTGTGTGAATATTTTGTCATTATAAAAAAGGAAATAAATACGCAAAAATGATTTAGTTGTCATCATTATTTTATAAATGCAGGAAGTCTGCCTTCACATGCATGTTATATTTTAGAGTGCGGGTTTGCTATAAATTTGATTCTAGAATATTATTTACGATGCACGGTTACTGCGGATGCGTGCGATAATTTTAATTGAAATCCAAGTCTACCGTGACTGCATGAGAGTTATGATTTCGAGGCTTGTTTTCATGATAAGAAAAACGTATTTAACTTACGCCGCCACAGCGCTGCGACTGCCGTTTAGCGCATGTGCGCCGTGTGGCTTCTTTAGAAAAGCCACGGAACCATCAGAACGAGTCAACATCTGTTTGGGTGATTTTAATAAAAAATATCTCTACCTATTGAGAATCCAACCCACTGCAAAATGCGTGCCCAAAATGTCAGTGCGTGCCTCTGCGTGCAAGGTTTCAAATTAGTTGACATTCGTCGCCTATGATCTGATTCAAAAAGTGGGCTGTAAAGTGAATGAGAACAAACAGTTCATGATTTTGTCCTTAGCTGAAAAGTTCCCTGCTGCCTCATGAAGTAAGTATTCAACACGAAATGTCTAATCAGGTTTTCTACTCGGGCGGCAAGCTTCTTTGCAGCCTTGCATGAAAGAGATTTTATCTCGTAAATCGCTATAATAAAGTTAATATTCACGTTTGCCGTCAATTTTAAGTTAGAATTTTGGTTAAAACACCCGTTGTCTGTGAATTAGTTGAATAATTTCAATGTGATGCACGTTTAATATGGATGCGTGTTAAAATTCTTTTTAGAATCTCCGTTCGTAGTGAATATGTGTTATATATATGGTTAAATTTCCAGTAATTTTTCCAAAATTTTAGGCATAATGCGTACTTAATGAGGAAGCGGGTTAAAATTTTATTTTGAATACGTTTTCATTCTCCATTTGGATAAGAATGCAATTTAACTACATAGTTTCTAATTAATTGACTGGCATCCTTCGAGTTTATAGAAGTAACGGGAATTTTAAAGTAAGTGATTCCGTGTCGTATAAAAAAATTAATGTTAAAAAGATGAATTTTATTGAGACTATAATATTTTTAAAAATCCTTTAAAACAATTATATTGAATCGTTTTCTGTAGTCATTCTGCATTAGAAATTAAAGTCAACATAAAAAGGCTACACGAAATCATTGAAAATAAATTATATCGGTGGAGCTAAAATATGACTGCATTCAACGAGAATAGTTTAATTCGGCGCCGGCAGCTATACTCTAATAAAACTTAAATTGAAGATCATCAAGTTTGTCAAATTAAAACATGAAAGTTAATCACATGCTACATACTATTCTGTACAATCTAACGAACAAAATCGCTTCCATTCCACCCTAATACAGGGGGAAGGGAAGGGGTGTTTCATTAAATACATTGCTTCTTGCATTGCCCGATTCTACCTCTACATTCTACCCTATTCACCAGTACTAAATTTTCTTCTCTATTCCTGGTAATTAACATCCATCGAATACACCAGTGCAAAATATTCTGTCACATAACCCAGTACCGAGCGTTCTCTCATATAACGCAATCATTCAAACATCTCATAATGATTCAAACATCTCACAATGATTCAAACATCTCAGAATGATTCAAACATCTCAGAATGTCTCAGAATCGTTCAAACATCTCACAATGATTCGAACAACTCACATTCATTATCATGCATTTTCTAATATTCACCATTACCCATTACCATATATACACCAGCACCAACCATTCCTCCCGCAAATATCAGTCCTCAATTTTCTCCCACAACAATCACAGACAACAGCCTAGTGGATCTACAAGGGCCAATTTTAATGCATGGGCTTGATTTGTCTAAGCAATTTCAACACGGTGTGGTTTAAATGTGGTGGCTGATTCTTCCTCCTGGCTAATAATATTATCATTCTGAATTATTGGCGGTAATGCAATTCAGGGCGAGACCCACTTGGATTCAATTTCCGCCCGCACACGGGTATAGATTATATACTGGTCAAGGACTACTACACACAGGACATGCATAGCCTATGTCCAGCCTCTGCTAGCAGAGGCGATCGCCTACACTATGAAAATGCTGGTGTTTTAGTTCTACAAGGGCCAATTTTAATGCATGGGCTTGATTTGTGTAAGCAATTTCAACACGGTGTGGTTTAAATGTGGTGGCTGATTCTTCCTCCTAACTAATAATATTATCATTCTGAATTATTGGCGGTAATGCAATTCAGGGCGAGACCCACTTGAATTCAATTTGCGCCCGCAGGCGGGTATACGTTATATGCTGGTATATAATTTGATAACGACTTGTCATTTCACCATATGTCTCTAGTAAGTTCCGTTCAGCGAACTGCTTTGCACGGGTCTATAAAATTCTGCCAATTAACTACGGAACCTATACAAGTAAAACTAACGTCTAAATTGCAGTTGTAATTTGTCTTCTTTCAAACATGCTCTATGGCAACTTAAAAAGTTTATCTTCTTAAAATAATAGTAAACAATTCATAACTCTACTTCGATTTCACTCCGGCAACAAACCTGACGTTGCAAAGAAAGACACCTAATCACGGGAAACAAGCAAAGCAGACTTACGAATCACTCGGCATCGGAGTGTATTAGACGCTTCATTTAAACGCGCAAATTCTCTAGGTACGGCTCGGTGTTGAAGCCTGAACGGCGAATCTAATTATGCTTCTACCGCCTGTTAAGGGGTTCACAGTTTAACCTAATTCCTAATTAGGCGACTGTGAACAATACTCAATTTTCAGTTCCACAATTCAATCCAGCTATCTTAATAAATTAGAAAATTAATAAGCTGAAGCACACGAACACGAGAGGCTAAAATAGCACGCTAATGCCAACATATACCTCAGGTTACAAAATTTTCATTACCATCAAAATTTTGAAAGCTCAACTGTGTGTTCTTGAATCATCAGTTGAATGCTGTCAAGCCGGTGTCGGGTTTCCCAACGAACTTAGTTTATGAAGCTTCAAACACTGCACAGTCATATAAAAAACTTTTGTTTCTAGCAATGTTCAGAATTAAAACGTTCAGCCTTTAAACTGGTAATTAATTTCAAATCATATACTTCACTTCTCATTACACGATTATAAGGCGAGAGTTGCAACCGTTAGGAGTCCGAAAGAACGGGAATAATTATTGCTCATAAGGCTAAATTTGGGCTTTACTCTCTACCGCCTGACACGAGTAACCGGAGCAATATTGTCACAAGCCTACTTCTCAAAAAGGATACCGTACGTCCTAATGAGCGCAAAATGACTTGCACTGATGGTTGCTGCCACGTACGACAACTTTAAAATGTTCTCTGTTTCCTACAAACGTCCTCAGGTTGCTACACTCAACAGTTTACGTATAATTTAAGTTAAATGTTATGATCCTGGAGAGTGACATGCGGCTGTAGATCGAGGGTAGAAGCTTGTCGTGAGAGGGGCTCGTGAACGAGAATAATGAAATTTGAAGGCAAAATCTACCCTTAAAGTCATCTGTTTAGGTTAAAAGGCTAAATCTGCCATCGAAAAGAGGAGGAATGGACCTGCATGCCATGTGTGAAGCTCGAGGCCGGGCAAGTATATAATTAGTGCCTTGAAGGCTAGGTCTGACCCTAATGCTTAGGAGTTTCCTTCGCCTTCTGGCGACAGGTAATGAACTCCAATGGCTGAGCTCTCTAACTTCCGATTAATTGCGAGCTTAGGTGGAAATGGAGTCGATCGTATGTTTAAATTTTCCCATCTTTCGCGAAAAAATTTTCATGTCATGAATTTTTATATCAAGCTAACCTGCATTTAGAGCCCATATAAATCTATTCCACATTAATAAAAACGCACTCATTATTTCGATTGCATTGCAATGAATGCAGCTTGAATTGCAATTTCAGTGTACTGCACAATTGCTGATGTTCTAGCAAATAAACTATAAGGCACCATGCAGGTGTTAAACACGGCAACGGCGCCATACAAACTTGTGGTCTACGCAGAGATGCATTGGAGCGGGATAATGGTAAACAACAAGTGCTGCTAGAACATCGAAAGCAGGATGAATTATTGATACGCAAGGTAAAACTTTTGCGAGTGCTGCAGCATCACGGCCAGATACAACAGAAAAAACGTATGTAACATCTAGTGGCGAATCTACTGCAGCATCCATTGCAGAATCTAGTGAGGTATTCAGTGCCACATTGATTGCAGTGTCTAGTGTAGCATCTACTTCGATATCTAATGCGGCATCTAATGTTATGAGCTATGAAGGGAATCTAAATATGTTTCTTTTATTGTCACCGCTAATCCACTTCAACTTGCCAGATTTCGCATCGCGCGATATTGACAAAGGTTCGGTCATGCGATTTGCCTTAATGCTCCTGCACACACCTTCAAATTGCCATGAATCTTACACCATGACAAGAATTTCCATGCATATGCAAACTCCTGCAAAATATCTTGTTACTTATACACACTCATTTAAATGCTTGTAGACATTTGAATACTCTTATAAAATGCCTATGTAGATACTCTGAAAGATACACCAAGTAACTATTCCCACCAATTAAAGAACTTTAATCCTGATTACTCCGTCTTCGTTGATGGGTGAGGCAGAAAGAATTTTTCAAAAGCCCAAAAATTTCTAGCAAATGGGACAAGCTCAAGCTAGCGAATGTCTCCGTAAGCCAATTCAGAATCGGGGTTTGTATTTCACTCGTCGCATTTCCGGGAGTAATTTCTTGACGAGTCCAATAGCAGATCTAGAGAGGAAGTTAATCTCACAAAAAGTTGTTCAATTTTCTCGAGATGTGGAGTTAAATTCACTTCGTGGAATTACCCTCTAGCCTGCCGAGGGGCATAGTCAGCCCTATAGGCCTAAGAGTCAGTGCATTTGTTCTACTAATTGACTATTAGAGCACAAATCGCGAGCAAGCATTTGGTTAAACGCTCTGGGAAACCGTGTCTAGAATTATCGGTGTGCAGATCGGTAGCCAACCAATGATATTTTGGGCGCCTGAGAATTCGTCTCCAGATGATAATACTGCCGAAAATTATAGGCGACTGAGCGGAGGCCACCGCAGGGACAACGATGGGCACCCAAAGACAAGGGCTGAGATTATCAGTAGGGTGATTTCGAGCCATCCAGAAGCAAACAAAAATTTAGGTACTAAACAACCATCGCTCTTCTAATGACCTGGATTTTTCACAAATTCCTATCGAGCTCCGAAAATGTTCTCCAGTATCTTTTGATTTCGATCTCGGCTGTGTCTTAAGAATGCTATTTCATCGGCGCTCTTTCCAAAGCTAAGATGTGTTGAGAGAGCAACGATTTGCGACACTCGAAAGACGAGGTTGTCTCGCAGATTGAAATTCACCTTCAACTATGAAGATTAAAGTCTCCAAGCTTCTCAAACCGATGGCCAAAATTTATACATATTTAAACTTGGATGAATATTTTATGTCCAAAATAATTTTTACGTTTCGCTAATTTGATTACCGACGTGTAATTTATGATTTCATATCACTGGTTCGGATGAGAGACATTATGACACCATGGATTAGAATACAATCAATATTATTTACCGCGAATTGACGACATATTCAATGAAATTCTATGCTCCAGAGATGAGTCAGCATGAAATTTGAAAATATACATAAGCACAAAACTAATATTCCGGTAGAAAATATTTTATACCTATTCAGTGCTATTGGTTGATGTTTTAACTCCCTACTCTGCCCTGCTTCCATCGTACATAACTTGACCGAGTAGAACGTTTTGGACACGATAAGAAAAAATTCCTGGTGATTAACAAATTGAAAGTTTTGAATATGAGGCAAGGGACAAATATTGGCCGGTCTGCTTATTTCTGTTATCGATGAGAAATGTCGTTTAGGTTTTTTAATTCAAACTTCCAGTTTTGATAATGATAATTAGTAAGTTTTGAGTCCCAAGGGATTACTGCATCATACCTCTGATTAAGCTCAGGAACATATAATTTAATAGCTCAACTCAACAGCCACCGGCTCAAGTCATCCCTCGAGGAGGCTTAAGCTGGCTCAAGGGAGACCTGGCTAGAGCCGGCAGCATCGCTGAGTGAGAGGCTCTCATTGAGAAAGCATTTTGCAGGAATTAACATGAAAAAACATCATAATAAAAGTATCATGGAGATGATATTATAAAGAAGGTAGCATGGAGAGAAAACAGCGAAAATGGCTACGCGAAAAATGCATCACGAAGGATACAACATAGTGAAGACATCGCGGAAGATATATCATGGAGAAGTTGGAAGAGGCACCACGAATATAAGTGATAAAGGAGGATTTTCGGGAAAACTGATTCATTGTGAATACCGGAAATTTGCTTCCGAAGATTGCATCGCCGAGCAGATCCATGTAATCTCAACATCACTTCCCATAAAGTAACGTCATCGGAGAAGTTATAAGATGAACGGGAATTATAAGCTGAACGGGAAATTATTGGCTCTTGAATATTCTATTAAGGAAATTTTTAACTGTTGCAAGCCGTGTACAGCTTACAGATCTTTATACATGAAACGAGTACGAAATTACTTATGTCTTTGCATAAACTTTGCATAAAATTTATTCTTAAACATCAATTCCTCCCAATTACGTATATTCTTCTTTGATATAAGAGGGAAAGTTTAGATCCCAAATATTATCGAACTTCAGTAATAGAAGTGATTGAAGAACTTGAATATCGAGGTGTGACTGATAGCTCTCAATCAAATTATTAAGTACGACACGAAAGGCCGAAGACAGCTTCTCCCTGTAGTTTAACTTTGTTTGAAGAAAGGCAAACTGGTATCGCATCATCCTCGAATAAGCGAATATGCCAAATCGATTGTAGACTTGTTATATAAGAGCACTCGTGCCATCATGAAGCACTTGTTACTTTAAACATAGTGCAGACTTGTTATCACGAGGCACTTGAGACTTCATTACAGGTGTTTTTGCAGCAGCAGGTAAGCTCATTAAAGTGAAGGCGCAATAACACAGCCTCTTAGGCTTCAGATTGCCCTCTCCCCGCATGCAATTGTTGGTCTAATTAACTGCTTAGTGGCAGCTGCGATAGCGACTTAGTTTAATGACAAAAATTTTGGTGCCACGAAATGGTTACTGAATAAGATAAGCGAAATGTGTGCACTCCAAATTTGCTGAGATAGGTAACAGGTGACGGCAAAATGTTGTTATTAACTTGTTATCGGTTATCAGCCTATTAAAATAAATGGGAAACATCCTGGAATTGGCCAGCAAAAGAGAGTATCCCATAGAAGAAGACAACATGGAGAAGGAATGGCAGAAAATACATGTTAGAAGCCATCATGGACACCATTAGGTGCCACTGAGAAAGTATTTTCACGGAAAAGGCATCGGGGAGAAGGTACAACGGATAAAAAATAACAGTGTTTGGTACTACTGAGAAAGTATCATGGAGAAGGTATAGCAGAGAAGGTATCATTTAGGAGACGTCACTGAGAAATCCAACAAGAATTTAGTGAATAAAATGAATCTGACAACTTTTGTTGTTTATGAATGATAATTTTCTTTTGAAATTAATTCGAATCCATAGTCATCCCACGTCATTCTGTGTCCTGGTCCCGTCACAAACTAGAAACAAACACTCAAGCAAATTAATACCATTTTTAGAAATATGTGTTTTAAGATGAAATTTCATTTTGCATCTATATAGTCAACTTCTTACTCTTCGGAAGCTACCTTTCTTTATCCCCCCGAGTCCCATGAATGGATTTTTCAAAACAGAAAAATGGGAAGAAAGGGATAATGCATCAATATTTTAGTGATTGACCATCCTTCGGAGTTAACAATAAATTCCATGAGGTTATAGTTTAAAAGTCTCCTTATAGGCCTGTGAAAGATAGGCCTCCTCAGGCTGATAGTTTGCAGTCCAGAAAAAATGGCGGTCATTTCAAAGTGGCTCCTCGGTGCGACGCAGCTTTGACGCTCCCTAAAATTAGGGAAAACGAATAACTTTCAACATAGAAGTGAGGGAAGGGCAGAGCTCTGGATGAAGCTTTACGAACTTTCAGTTGCTCGCGAAATCTGAAAAAAATATAACTCAGTACTCACTGTAGTGAGTGACAGAGAGCGCATTTTCTCGTCGTGAAGTCACGAACGGAGAGACGGACAGATGGACAGACAGATGGACAGACGGACGGACGGACATGGCGAGCACAATAGTGCATTTTTTTCATAAATGAGAAAATACGCTAAATATGTGCAGTAGATTATTTTTGGTTGGAATAATGAGTGAAAAAGGTAATCGTGAAGAAGTATTTTTACGGGTAAGGAATGGGTAACGAATTAAAGAAATTGTCATTGAAACTATGGTAATTCAATTGAATGTGATTCCTCTCTCCTGTGAAGTTGCTTCGACGACTGGCACATAAAAGCCAGTGACACGACAGTCACTTCCATCGTACTTGCTCAGTTAACTAGAAGTTCCATCCTAAAATAAAACTTCCATAAGCATATTTTCAATGTTAATTTAAATGGCTGGTAATTGAACCGCTATAGTTTGCATGTTCGATCATAAATTAAATATAATTATTACCCGTTATTATAAAATATTCACGTCAACTTGCTTTATATATCCGGTGATTTAGAAATCAGTTAAGTGACATGGGAAAATGTCGATCATAATAAATGTTGACCATAAATCGAAACTAAGAAATTAATTTATCCTGTTGTCTGGACTAAAATTTAACCGCAATTTCAAGTCACGTGCGTAGTATGGAAGGCAAAAAAATGGGATATTTTTCCTCCGGCGATTAATCGTTTGAAATTTATTCGCAATGAGGAAACTGGAATGTTAAGCATATAATTTGGATGGTTATTTTGCGTATTGTACAGATTAATTTTCGACTGCTTCCTACCTCATTGGAAATTTTACATCAATGAGTGATGACGCAGATTTAATGTAAAAAATTGAGTAATAGCATTCCTAACATTCATTATCTGTTAATTTACCGAAAAATTTGTGTCGGATGAACCATAGCAATTAATGGCTATCAAGGAAACTCATATTGATTGAATTAAACAACAAAAAACAAGTCTTCATTCAACAACTTATAGTCATGATATTTGCTCTAACCTTCCGATTTTTGTGATTATATGATGGAGCAATTATTACAAGCTGTTAAGTTTCGAGAAAACATTAAAAAATCTGAAAATATAAAATAATGCTAGCCATAATAAACGGGAATATAATGTGTTGATGAATAATTAATAGAGTGCATTTTTTTGTCAGAGCATAAAATTACTCTATGAGGTAAAACACCGCGCAAAATAAACTTCAGAAATCTCTCGTTTGTACGTAATCCCAAAAATCTTGCAAACTTCCGATCCTAATTTTCTCTTTGAGGAATGAGATTAAAACTTGAAATAAAAAAGGTTGCAATCGTGTGCATAAAACTAGGCTTCGAAAATAGCCCGTGACTTTGCATATTTTTCTTAAAAACACGTGCGGATTTGCCGAGAGAAAACCACAACAATCTTCACCAACATGCCCTCGAAAATGTCATGATCTCTTTCCTCAACTTGCTTTATTAAGAGAAAATTCTGTGGAAAAGATCGAATGATGCGGTATTCCCGAGCCTCGGCCTTCATCATGCTATGATAGACCGATATCGCTGAGCTTTAACTTCTTCCTGCACTGATAAGCCGACTTTCCAGGATATGGCATTTTGGTCTAACTTTTTTATCCTTGATCGGTAATGACAAGATCTTGTAAGGAGCCAGCACAACTTTAAATTTATTTAAATGGGATCAAGATTACCGCCACGAACTTTTTTTTTCTTTCATAACAAATGAGTCGCATTGATGACTTTCCCGAACTTATATTAAAGTTGACAGTATTATCATCTTCTCCTAAGATCACAACTTTGAAGCCAACATTCATTCTTTTACAGGACATTTATTATCTGAAACTTACTTTGATAAATTGTCACTGTTCAGAATTCTTTTCTTGTTCGCGAATATTAATTGGAGTTAAGTGTAAACTGGAAAAGTCAATAATCCTGGACCGGTTGATAATTACCTTTTTATTTTTACACCATTTGCTAATTCCTAATTTAGACCCGGATAATCTTACCGTAGAAAAACTTTCAAATTGAATAAACATATCGCTGCCGATTAGACTTATAAATTATTGTGGTATCTTTATTACTTCTAATTTCAAACTATCAACTAGAAAATTTTTGTATTTGTCTATATATTTGAGAGTTAAGGTGTCTATAACTTAATTGCATAGTGCACTTTTGTGTTTCGTTAAACATTCGCATGAAAGAATTGTTGATTTTATAAGCTACTTACTTCTCTAACGGGACACTCGAATGTCGCTTACATTTTACTCATATAAACATCACGATTCTTCATATAGGAAAACTTATGAAATATTTGTTCTAAAAATTACTATAATAATTTGCTGGGATTCCGAACTTTACGCATTAGATAGCAGGCAAAGTTGAGTGCTGAATCGGGAAGTTTAGCAATGACGTTATGCAAGTTCGTCCTAAGTTTGCTATGCAGTCTATGGGGCGGCGCAGCGATTGCGCTCTCATCTTTTCATTGTAGATCCTCTAGCAACATCGCTGTCGCAGTCATTGCAGATGTATTCAAAATACTAAACTATCAAACATATGTCAGAATTTTTGCTGTTGTTTTAGTAATCGTTATGATATTGAAAGTGCATGAAATATGTGGTATAATAATAAGCGTGAATTAAATGTAACTATGAATGAGATTTCGATTCGCGTCAACACAAAACTTAGTTAAAATTTAACCACGAAGAATAAACGTGCGGGATGAAAGTTATTCAACTATAATTTTTGAATCTGCAATTTTATACTCTATATTATATACTCTATATACTCTACTGCAACATACAATACTATAGAGATATTATATAGAAAGTGATTTTGTAATTCGAATTTTCAAATTTGATTTGCACACAGATATTTTTTTCACTTTCGATATTAGTGTTTTTATCATGTTTAACTGTACTTCAACTTAAAAATTCGAAACTCTCACCGGAAAATTCATTTAAAGCCTTGGCTAG